TGTGTGTGTGTGTGTGTGTGTGTGTGTGTGTGTGTGTGTGTGTGTGTGTGTGAGTAAGAGAGCCGTGCGCGTGCACGTGTAACACCTGTCCCCCCCCTTCCTCCCCATCCTCACCCTGCACTGCCTCACCGCGGTGGATGCGTCTCCCTGCGCTTTCCTGCTCCTGAGGCGCGCGCGCGTGTGTCTATGTGTGTGTGTGTGTGGGGGGGGGGTCGTTGTCCTCACGCACGGATCCGCGTGCTGCAGGGAATCGGAAGCAGTGTTATCCTCTTGTTTGTTTGTTGTTTTCTTAACAACTGGGCCGTGATGTAACGAGGCCGCGAGCTGATGATGCGCGCGCGCACGCCTTCCTGCTTTTCGCGCGCGCGGGGCAGCGATTTTGCTGCCCCACATTCACTCGCGCACACGCGCACATCTTTCTGTTTTGCGCGCACGTCTTCCTGCTTTGCGCGCGCGCGGCAGCAGCAATTCTGCTGCGCGCGCGCGCGTGTGTGAGTGAATGTGGAGCAGATGTTAAGCTGACACTTTCACAGCACAAAGGCGGCGGACGCACGTGCGAAGCGAGCGCACGCGCACACYCACGGCGCTGAGAACCGCAACAGGAGCGAGTTCCGCCATTTCGTGATGTTGTGGCGACAGCAGCATTGCATCACAGCCGCCGCTGCTGCTGCTGCTGCTGCGCGCGCGCGCACGCCGGTAGGAAGTGATTAGGAAGAGCGAGGCAGTGCAGGAATGTTCTCACGCGTCTGTGCGCGTGAGAACAGAGTCCTGGTTTTCATTCAGCAGCAACACGCACATCACTGCGCGCGCGCGCGTCTCCCTTTCTTTCCCCCGCTGCTTACGCAACTCAGCTGTACACCTGCAGAGCAACCGTCAGGTCTGAACATGATGGACTGGGTGGGACTGAGAGTCTGGAACACGCGCGCGCACACACCCGCGTGAGGAAGAGGAGGAAGAGTAAAGGCAGGAAGATGCTTCAGATTCTCTGAGCAGAAATGAGGTCAGTGATGGAGCTGAGAGCCACTTCCTGTTTCTGAGCATCTCCTCCTCCTCCTCCTCTCTGCGCCTCTTCATCAACAGTCTGGATGGTTAAATGTGTCAGAGGCTACTGCTAGCTGCTGCTGCCGCAGCTGTTAAACCAGCAGCCAGGAGAGGTGGCCGATCATATAAGTCTGTCAGTAAAATATCTTACGAACCACTGGATGGCTGCAGTGGRCCTGACCAAGATGGCCGCCACAAAAAGTCACTGTTAAAAACACAAAAACTTCTGAATCTCTGTGCTTTTTTTTTTACAAACATTGAGGTAAAATTCGGTGTGGTAGTAGCTGAGAGTCAGCCCCAACACTTACTGTGAGGAGAAGATCTTTGTTGTTTGTTTATTGTTGTTTATTGTTGTGTCTCTGAATATTGGATGTTTTGTTTCTCATGTTTTTAACTGTTCAGTGTGTGTATGTGTGTGTGTCGCTGCAGACACACTGCAGTTTGTGTCTTTGTTGCACTGTTTGATGTGTCTGTGGTTGTTTTGCTTCATGTTGTGTGTCTTTGTGCGTCTTTAATCAGCAGCATTCTGTCTGGTTTTGGTTCCTTTTGTGGGTTTTTGGGTTTGTTTTGCTGATTTTGCAACAGTTTCGGTTTTTGTTTTGTTGCTTCATGTTTTGAATCATTTCTCAGTCTCGTGTCTGTTTTTGCACCATGAAACCATCATCATCATCATCATCATCATCATCATCATCATCATCATCATCATCATCATCATCGTCAGTCTTTGTGCACTCTGTGACATTTTGTGACCTGGTGGTGATTTGACATTTCACACTCAGCTCCTTCAGTTTCCTCCAGGGTTTCATCAGTGTGTTCACATGTTCACCATTGTCAACACAAACACACAAACACACACACACAAACACACAAACAAACACACCAGGTGAAAAGTGTTTTAAATAAATAACTTGTCTTTTCTTTAACACTCAGTCTGTTAGAAACAAACTGATGATTAGTTTTATAATCTGATCAGATGAATTCTCTCTGAGTCAGTAAGTGAGGAAGATGATGATGAAGAACAGCAGGACTGTTACCTGTCGCAGGTAAAGCTGGATGTGTGGCAGGTGGTCAGCTCTGAGCTCACACACACACTTCCTGTTTTTATTAAAAAAGCAGAAACCTGTCAGATTGTTACAGGCCTCTGATATATTTAGCTCTCTTCTTCTTCTGTGTTTTTCCCTACGTGTGCAGTCTGACTGTGTGAGCTGTGTGTGTGTGTGTGTGTCTGTGTGTGTGTGTGTGTGTGTGGCAGCTCGGCCCTCGAGGATAAGATGTGCTTCTGTTTGACCTTGAGTGAAAAGGAACGCAGCTTTTTAAGCTAATCCCTTTCAGGAAGCTGCACTGTAAGAGTCGCACTGCTCTCCTGTGGCCCACTGTACACACACACACACACACACACACACACACACACACACACACATTAATACCAGTACACATGCCTTCAGATCTGCATGTGTTTTATTGCCTTTGAATCAGCCTGAAGATAAAATCTGAGTTTAAAGTTCCTCTCACATCAAATGTTTATAATAAAAATAAATGTATTTTTAGAAAGATAACTTTAATAACAAGCTGWAACCAAACTTTTACGCTGCTGAGACGAACAGTTGTTGAGATATTCAGACGTTCAGTAACAGGAAGTGATGTCAGAGGGGAATGTCTGCATCTAAACAGAGCGTTGTTACAATAACAGACTGTAGAGAAGAATCTGATGTTTCTGTAGATTATTTTCAGAGAGATGAGGAAATAATAAATATTGATTCAATGAAGAAAAACCATAGTTTATTTTCTTGAAGAGTTCCCCTTTKATGTCACTTCCTGTTTCACTGTAGCTGAACAAAGTTAAAAGGAAAATCTGTAACAAAGTGGGTAAGATGATGTGTATTATAAATGTTGTCTTTGACTTGTTGTATTTGAAACACGTTCACGTCACAGAAACATTAAAGTCGTCAGAGTTTTAAATATTTTATTCTTTTTATACAAAAAATGTTTTGAATTTTTAGACCTAAAACCAACAAACTTAAAGTTCCTG